GGAGTTAGTTAGCCCATGGTTCCATAGGTGGTTAGTGGCAGAGCAGTAGCTCTGAGCCAGGCATTTTGGATATCCAAAATGTGGATTCTTTTCAATAACTGCAGCTTCACACCTTATACAATCAGGTAAGTTTAGCACCTGAGCATCTGAGAGCCGAGGCTGCCTTATTAAGCGGGAGTTTCTTTCTGTAGCTGTGACCAACCAGTGGTTGAGTACCAACACAGCTGTTCTCTCTGTTATGTGGCTCCCAGGAGCTGTACTGGGTAAGTAACAGGAGCCACTGGAACTCAACCTCACGTCCACGGTTGCTTTGCAGGAATAGGGGGTGGGCAGGCACGCAGCACCCTCAGGAATGAATGGGGACATGCGGTCCTGAGCTGCTTGTGTCTGTGTGTTGCTCTGAATTTGTGATTCTTAGAGATCATGGTGGCCACCAACAGATGAGTTAATATTGGAGGATTTCTACAAGCATGGTGTATATCTGCTTGTATGATGCTATTCATACATTCACAGAGACTAGTTAAGAAGGTATTTCTAGATTAACTGACCAATAGACACCTGCTGATCCTTCAGAAAGGCACAGGAGTGAGAGAATGGTTAAGGCAGGCGACCTACAGCAGTTCTGGAGGTAAACTGCTCAGCTTCTTACTGCCTGTGGGACCTTAGGCAGGAATTAACCTTAACCTCCAAGCCTCACTTCCTCATGTATACAGTGGGGTGATAACAGGACCTGTCTCACAGGGTTAGTGTGAGGATTGAGTGAAATACTTTCATAGAACACATATTAAGTCCTTACACAATTGTTAGCTATTATTTTTATTCTCCTTCCTCTGCTAGACCCTTCCTCTGCTTCTAGGAAGACACATGTGGAGTTAACGTAGTTATTAAGATGGACAGTCGCAGAATCAGACCGCCCTGTTTACCACTCATGAATGACATGTATTTACTGGGAATCTTTTTGGGAGTCCATTATCCATAATAAGGGTCTAATCTTTTGCCATTTAGGGAAATGATCGCCAATCTAAGTCAACGATTGGATCCAGTGACAACTCATCTCCTCAGCCCCCCAAGAGGAAAGGGAAGAAAGAAGAGGCGAATTCAGAAAAACCCACAAAAGTGAAACACAATGTAAAGTTAAAGAATTCACAACAAACAATTCCAAATAGTGGTAAGCTTGCTATTAGTATTGTATTGCTATTATTAATTATTTTATTATCTCAAATAGTATCTCTACGATACTATTTTAATCCTTAAATAGATCCATCTGATTCTTGGGGCCCGCAGAAGATTCTTTTGTTGTCAAAGAAGACTTTTTGTGTATGAGAGATGCTGCTATTTTTCATGGTCAATTTCTATTTGTAATTAGCCGTGTTGTGCTGTGAAGACACTTGTTTTCAGCTCGAACATTTCTTGAGGTGGTCTTATTACAAAAAGTAAAATTTACCGTCCTCTGCTCCTACTGATAGCGTTTAACATTTTTACCAACTGCTGCTGATATCGGTCTCTCTTATTTGTGTCTGTAACCCTCGCCCACATGCACTATGGTTTACTTTTAGTCATAGGCCACCTTTCCCCAAAACACGTTCTGTTAATTTAACCGATATCCAAGAGAATACTACTAAACACACACAAAACTTTACCAGTGAACGATAACATATGCACCAAAAGTAGTTATGTGGTTTTGTCTTGCACTCCCAGGTGAGAGATGGTATAAAATAAATTTTAAAAACTTTGCAATTGGTCTGAGATGTCATTAGTAAGAGGTAAAAGTGTGATGAACTAAGGAAGTGTGCAGTGAAAGTTGTGAACTTGTGAACTTTCACATTAGGTTTTCGTGGAGAGGGGCTATTTTGGTTTCATTCCAAGCATGTTCTCAGTGCGGGGAGCACGTGAGAGTGGACTGGGACAGATGCTGGGGCAGGGACAGCTGGCTGTGAAACAGATCAATGGAGTCACTCCTCCTCCTGCTCCCATCCTGGGATCCACTCACACACCCCACTGTGGGCCATGCTGGGGTGCCCAGGAAGAGGATGGATGGGATAAGGGTTCACGTTCATGCTCAGAGCCCCCACTTCCACTTGGGAGCTCCAGCTCATTTCAAAGTCGACCTGAATAGCCACATTAGAATGACAGCTCTTGTGGGTTTCCCACTGAGAAGATGGCATGAACTCCTGTGAGGGAAGCTGCACCGATGATGAGAGAGTCAGAAGAAGGATGTGTGAGACTAGGTTAAAAGGACAGGCTAAGTGAACGAACCAACTCCATAGAGAAGAAAGAGTAGGAAGGGGTTTAAATCTTCAAAGCTTTANTGAACGAACCAACTCCATAGAGAAGAAAGAGTAGGAAGGGGTTTAAATCTTCAAAGCTTTAAATGATGAAGATCAGCTGGAAGTCAGGAGTCCTAGATTCTTGTCCCAGTTCTGCTATTGACCTCCAGCAACTCACTTAACTTTTTTGGGTCCCATTGTCTTATCTGCAAAGTGTGGGTTCACATTAAGATTTACCTTTAAAGTTTTGCTTATCTTTAAATTTGTGCAGTCCATTTCAGTGACTAGCAAACCAGAAGGCCAGGGTGAAATACAGTCAGCAAATGTTTATTGAGTGCCTATGTTGTGCAGGAACCAAAGAAAAGAAATTAGCTTGGAAGAAGATGGCATACCTTGTGCATTAAAAATAATAGAGGGTTTATTTTAATTAATATATACTATACCATGAAGCCCTCACGGACATGGGCTATGTCTTACTAGTTTTTTTGTTTTTTGTTTTTTTTAATCCCCAACCCTAGCACAGGTCTGATAGATATGAGGCACTTAAATGTTGAATGAATGGTGGAAGTTAAAAAATCAA